CCCTCCTGGAGACTGGCATTCCAGCTCTCGCAAGCTGCTGTGTCCAAGCCCCTTGCCCTCATCTCACACGGGCTGTGAAATTCCATCTGTCTTGAATAATCATAGGAAGCCGCTCTGGCGTCCTCATGACCTAAAGCAAGCACAGCTCCACGTCTGTGTGTGCAGGAGCCTTCCCTCCTGGCCCACAGGCCTTTTTGAGCGTGTGGCTCACAAGTTTCACCTTGGAGATGACCATCGTCCCTCGGAAGCTCATGTACACACAGAAACATGGCCGTCCCCGGGAGGAGTTTTTCTTCTCCCTGTGTCCTTGCCCCAGAGTCAGCTGGAGCTACTGAGAACCACAGACACCCTTCCCCGCCATGCTGTTTCTGGAACAAGCCTGTCTTTCCACAACTCACTTTGCAACCTTAGGTAGGGCCACAGTTACCCTGCCTTGCTTTTCTCATCTGTGACTCCAAAGGGTAGTGTCAGAAAAGATCAAGTTAAGAAATGCAAAATCATTTTAATAAGGTTGTTGACTTTTGTGCCCATTTCAGTATTATATTTAAAAATTCACGTTATAGAAATAAATCTGGGTTTTCATTTTGCTGTGTGCAGTGCGCAAGATGCCTCATTCCCGTCCCTCTTTTAAGAGTTTGACATTATTGGATGGCTTGAATTCAATGACTGTTCAGAAGATCTGAGAAGCAAACTTTACCTCTTGGGATTTTTGTTTTCCAATAGGAAGGACTTGCTAAAAGAGGATGGTCTGCATTTGTCAGACCAGGTGGTGTGGTCTCAGCCAGCTAGCCGACCTCCGTCAGCTGTCAATATTTGCCTTTTTTTTTTTTTTTTTTTTAGATGGAGTCTTGCTGTGTTGCCTGGCTAGAGTGCAGTGGTACGATCTTGGCTCACCACAACCTCTGCCTCCCAGGTTCAAGCGATTCTCCTGCCTCAGCCTCCCGAGTAGCAGGGATTACAGGCACACTCCACCACGTCCAGCGACTTTTTGTATTTTTAGTAGAGACTGTGTTACACCATGTTGGCCAGGATGGTCTTGATCTCTTGACCTTGTGATCTGCCTGCTTCAGCCTCCCAAAGTGCTGGGATTACAGGCGTGAGCCACTGCGCCCGGCCAATACTTGCTCATTTTTAAAGTCCCGCTCAAGTTCTATCTGTGCCCCCGTCCCAGGATGTGTCTGTGGAGCCCTGTGACTTTGCTCTTGTTCCCGCATCAGATTTCTGACCCTGCTGGTGATAGGAGGACCAGGAGGGTCATCCAGCAAGAGCTCACTGACCACAGTGGGAGCAGGAGCCAGAGCTAATGGGACAGAGAAGGGAGCCCCAGCGAGAAGAAGGAGAGACACAGTTTACCCAGAACCTGGCAGAGACACTGGCATGCATAGGTAGGCCTGGGTCCCCAGGCTCTGCCTGCAATGTTTCTTTCCCGATCTTTTCCAGCAGACGAGAATCTCCCTGTGAGCTCCCTCACACATGATCTGTGCCTCTCCCTGGCTCTTATCACCTATCTGTCTGCCGCAGATGAGTTATTTCTGAACTTGCCTTATCTTGCCTCCTGGACCGCTTTAGCTCCTGAAGGGTCACGACTGTCATAAACACTTGACTATCTTCTTCGGGGCCCGGCAAGGGCCTTGCACAAGGGCTGCGTGGGGAGGGCACAAGCCCCTGGTCCCTGGGCCATGGGCTGAACAGTTTGTGACAGCAGCAGCTGGCACAGTGGAGAGGCTGGGCAGCTCTAGTTGGCCTCCGTCTTAGGGGATTGGAAGCCTTGGAGGGGACAGGGGAGACGCTGCTCTGGGAAGGTCTTGGCAGGGGGAGGCTCCCTTCTCCATCTCCCACCATGCCCTCTACTTCTTGGGGTTAGATGTCTGCACCAAGCGCCGCCTCTCTCTGCTAGATCTTCTCCCACCTCCCCTCTGCTGCACTTTTTTGCTATCTCTCTCTGTTTGGCATGAGCCTCTTTCAACCCGGCATCTTCCTCACCTCCTTCCTTCCTTTCTGGGCCAAGTTTCTCCCAGGGACACCCACTGCACCTCTTATTTCTCAGGCCACGGGACTGGTGCTCACCCTCCGTCCCCTGACCTGGCTTGGCTCTGCCTGTCCCTCCGGGGCCTGCTGTGCGCCACATCCAGAGCGTGCATTTGGTCTGCATCAGACTCGCCTGCCCATCACCATCTTGGCGTTGATCACCCTCTTCTCGCTCTTCCTCTTCCTGAATAGCAGAGTTTTTCTGGCTCCTCCACCACTCCTTCTCCTCTTCTTTCCTGTATCCATTAGTGTCCTTTGCCCTGCACACTCCATGGCACTCCTAGACACTCTCTTTCCTTCCAGAGACATCAATAACCACCCGGAGGCCAACAACCCCAAGTCCACAGCTCTGGCTCCAGCCTGTTTCCCAGTGCTGCATCGTACACGTGTTGCAGGGGGCACCTGCTTGTGGCCCTCTCGTCAAACACGCTTATTTAAGATAAAAGTGCCAACTTAGCACTCAGCATCTCCCGCCACAGTTAATGGTGCCACCGTTCACCTGGTCATCCAGGGAGTCACCCTTAGACTCCTCTGTCTCCCCCAGTCCTTCCCATTCTCCAAGTGCTCTGAGTCCCCCTGGTGTAGTCAGGTGGGCCAGGCCATGCTGCGGTCACAAATATCCCTGCAGTATCAGTGGCCAAACACAGCATCTGGATGGCCGGGCCGGCCTCTAGGTCACCCCTCAGGAATCTCGTCTTGTTCGAGCTGCAGCTCTGCCATCTGGTGCCAGTGCCTCTGAACTCGCTGCAGGAGGTAAGAGCAGACGAGACGGTCCTGCAAGATGTTAAGGCCCCGCCTGAAACGGGTCACGTCGTTTCTGTCCCATTCCTGCGGCCCCTCAGCTGACTGCAACGGAGGCTGGAAATTGCAGTCCAGAGACGGTCTCCCCCACGTGCCCAGGGAGGGGAAGGGATTGATGTCCCCACAGTACTGCTGTCAGGGCCCTGATCCCCTCTGATTGGACTAACGAGTCTCCCTGCCTGCAGCCCCTGTCCTTCCAATGTAGCTTCCTCCCAGCGGCAGGAGCAGCCAATCGTTCTACACTGTGGATCTGGCCACATCACCTCTTGCTAAACCCCTTGCTCTTGGAATAGCGTCACGCTGGACCCTGTCAACCTCTCCAGATGCTCCTCTCACCACGCTCCCAACACGGCCTTCTCCCCAGCTGCCCCAAACGCCTCACATTTCCCCAAACAGGCCGTATTTCACAGGGCTCCCCTCATCCCCCATTTGTTGACAGGGGATCTCCCTTCCAGAACAGTCTCGGATCTGCGTGCTGGAGTCAGCTCACCAGGCCCTCCTGGGTTCATCTGTGCCCACCCACTGCAGGCCAAGTCTTGGGATCCCTGTGTAGGGTTTCCAAAGTCCTTCATGTGCCCTCATTAGGATACTCTGGGCATTGTTAGTCACTGCTTTTCAGACTGTCTGACTTCAGCCATAAGACAGAGGCTAAAGGTCTACTGTGCAGCCTCTGAGATTTCACTCACTGGAGCCTTAGCATTACCCTGTGAGAGGCACTGCTGGGGCTTCCATTTAACGTCATGGGGAACCAGAGACATCAAGGAACTTGCCCAAGCTCACACAGCCAAGTGGGGGAGGAAGGTCGGCTCTAAGTCCACACGTGAGACTGCTGTGCTACACGGCCTGTGACCACAGCCCTCAGCCACATGGCACCTGCACCTCTGTCTCTGCGACCCAGCATGCAGGTCCAGAGTGCATGGCCACTCATGACCAATGGAACACAAGTGAGCAGTTCCATTTTATAGCTTTCTTTTACTCTCTCCTCTACCTACTTCCATCCACGTTTCCCTTAGAAAAACCCAGTATGGGCTGGGTGCGGTGGCTCACGCTTGTAATCCGAGCACTTTGGGAGACTGAAGTGAGTGAATCACTTGAGGTCAGGAGTTCAGGACCAGACTGGCCAACATGGTGAAGCCCTGCCTCTACTTAAGAAAAAAAAAATTATCCAGGCATGGTGGTAGGCGCCTGTAAACCCAGCTACCTGGGAAGCTGAGGCAGGGAATTGAACCAAGGAGGCAGAGGTTGCAGTGAGCTGAGATCACACTACTGCACTCTAGCCTGGGCAACAACAGCAAAAGTCTGTCTCAAAAAAAAAAAAAAAAAAAATTCCCCCATACCTTTTCCTTCTCAGTTTATTTCAGGAAGCAAGAAAATAAATCCATGAGACTCTCATTAGACTTTTTGAAACAAAGTAAATTGATCTTATCCCTGGAAGTAAGCACCATGCCTGGAAGAGAATCACTCCAGAGATCTCTTCCGCGCCTCAACTATTCTGGTCACACAGGAAAATGACTGCCATGACATTCTATCACGATCTGCACAACACAAACAACGTCAAAGGGTCTCTCCCACACTGTGTCTACTCATGAAAAGGGCTTTGCCAACATCTCTTTCAGTAAGTGTGCAGAAATGACATCCTTTAAAGTCCCTGTTTCGCAAGTAGCTGCCGTGACATGGGTACGCAGAGGGGCCAGTGTTGCTGCTCAGGGCTGCCGTGACAAAGGGCTGCAGACAGGGGCCGTCACCAACAGATGTCTGGTTTTTCGGAGGCCTGGAGGCTGGAAGTCTGAGATCTAGGTGCTGGCGGGTGTGCTGCTCCTGAGGTCTCTGGGTGTGGCATGGAGGTGGCTGCCTTTCCCCCGTGTCTTCCCGCGGTGGTCTCTCTGTGCATATCTGCATCCTAATTCTTTATTTTTATTATTTTGGAGACAGGATCTTACAGTGTTGCCCAGGTTGGCATGCAGTGGCACAATCACAACTCACTGCAGCCTCGACCTCCCAGGGTCAAGTGATTCTCCCACCTCGGCCTCCTGAGTAGCTGGGACTACAGGTGCATGCCGCCACACCTGGCTAACTTTTGTATTTTTTTTCTTTAGAGGCAGAATCTAACCATGTTGTCCAGGTTGGTCTTCAACTCCTAGGCTCAAGCAATCTGCCTGTCTTGGCCTCAAGTGCTGGGATTACAGATGTGAGCCACTGTGCCTGGCCTTAATTTCCTCTTTTTAAAAGGACACTAGTCAAATTGGATTGGAACCTATCCTAATGGCCCTATTTTAACTTAATCTCCTCTTCAATGAACCTTTCTCCAAATGCAGTGACTTTCTGAAGTACTGCGGGGAAAGACTTCGACATAGGAATTTTGAGGGTCCCAATTCAGCTCCAGACAGGCCCTAATGGAAGCTCTGGCCACTGCGTCCAGCAGCAATGTGACCCTGGATGAGTCCTCGCTCACTGGGTTTTAGTTTTCTTATCACCAGCATGGTCGGGGGGGTAATCAGACAAGCTTGCCCAGGGCCTTTACAGCTTGAAAACTCCACAGTGACCTATAAAAGCATCACTCCAGGAAGATATATTGCTTTTGTGACCCAGGCAACACCACGAGGGCTTTCAGCGTTCAAGGCCACGCAGCCACAGCGCTCTGATGTTTCTCAATATTTGACGACAAATTTTATGATCCCTGTTGGCAGGTGAGACATTTCTCCTCAGCTTGAAAGCAATAGCAGTGTGGTCTCAGCGGGGAACATCCTCAGAGAAATGTTTGTTTTTTTCTCGTGTGTTCGGTTCCGAGGTGGAAGCCCCCAACCACTCATTGAGGGAAGGGACGTGTCTGATGCTTCTAAATCAAACAAAGGCATTTTCTTTTCAGGATGGGTGTTTCTCTATACACACACGATTAAAGACCAAAGCCCAAACAGACCTACCGGGGAATGAGAAAGGCTCAGCAAAGACAGCACAGCCCTCTTCTTGTGGGCACAAAGGTGGGCTGGCTAGTACCTGGCACTGCATGGCCAGCCAGGAGCCCATCTGTGACTTCCAGGATCCCAAGAGTCACACAGGGCTGTGGGGGCTTCAAAAACAAGCCTGAAGCAGAGGCCCTTAGCCCATCCTCGATTGGGCAGCGGTGCGGTAGGGTTGGTATTCTCCCCAGAGCTCTGCCTTCTGCTTTGCCACGCAGTAGCTGTATTGGACCGGGCTGGTTTCCTTCCACAGGCGTGGACAGAGAGGAGAGGCAGGGCCCCCAGTGGGACCACGGGTCCCTCTCATAGTCTCACCTTGGGTGAGTTGCTTTATCCTTCTCCTCCCTTGAAGCTGGTCTTCAAATCAGCTCCATGTCTTTGTGCAGACACCTGTTTGGCTGTGTCTCTACCCAAATCTCATCTTTAATCGTAGCTCCCATAATTCCCATATGTTGTAGGGGGACCTGGGGGGAGGTAATTGAATCATGGGGATGGGATTTTTCCATGCTATTCTCGGGAGAGCAATTAAGTTTCAGGAAATCTGACGGTTTTAGAAAAGGCGGTTCTCCTGCACATGCTCTCTTGCCTGCTGCCGTGTAGGACGTGCCTTTGCTTCTGCCTCACCTTCCACTGTGACAGTGAATTCTCCCCAGCCATGTGGAACTGTGAGTCCATTAAACCTCTTTCTTTATAAATTACCCAGTTTGAGTATGTCTTCACAGCAGTATGAAAATGGACTAATTCATGCAGAGAGCTGAACTTTCCAGATTCCGAGTGTCCTATATCCATGAAATTGCAATATTGGCACCCAAGAGGCAGCTGGGAGGGATAAACGGGGTCTTATGTGCAGAGTTAGGTGTGAAATACACAGCAGCTAGTGTTACATTTTCTTTGAGCATCCACTGATTTGGGTCAAATTGGACATGTCTGGACATGGAGGGGAATTTCCTATTGGGAATACTACACGTAGCTCTTCTTGAGCTTAGCACGGTCCCCTCTGTAATCAACATATATGTAGGGTTTTACAGATTCCACAGCACAGTTGCATGCCTCATCTCCTCTAACCCTCTCCATTGTACTGTGAGATCCATCTTGTCACTTCTGTTTTACATGAGGAATATCCTGAATGAGGCGGGGGCTCATGTGGATCACCTGTCCAAGGCCCCTCAGTTCTAAGAGGGCAAGGAAAGACCTGAGGATAAGCACAGACTGATGGTCTGTACTTCTGTAGCCCAGAAACTAGGCTTGTTTTACAGTCTTTGTGTCTCACGATTTTCTTGCAAAAAACCCTGTGTCCGGCTCTGTGCACACCCAGCACAGAAGCTGAGTGGGCTTCAGTTTATCTGAGCATGCTAGTTTCTAGTCCATACTGGAGGGCTGTGTAAGCATTTCAAGCTAGAGTGATTATTTGGCTTTATTGAGGTGCGTCCTCCTTACCTCATTAGTAAAATCATTCACGCACAATCTGCTGAAGAGAAACATGCATTAAAATCTGAGATGGGCTGTGGCCCCATGAGGCCAAATTGTTCGAGGCTCTGTTTGGCCTATTTTCAATGTTTGCAAAGGACCCAGACCTGCTCCTGTCATGGGAAACAATAGATGGATTGAAAACTTCTAGAGTTGGAATTCTATAAGGCATAGAACGTTGGTTTACGTGGAGTTAACCAAGAGAAAGTCCAAAGGAGTCAACTGTTGGTTTCCGCCTGGAATTTTCTTAATCCTGGTTAAAGCACCTAAGATCTTTATGGCTTCAGGCTGGGCCTTGAAGTGGTGGGAGAGGTATCTCCTTTTCCAGCAGACTCGCCTCTCCAGCTGCATACCACAGTTGTCCTATCAGCAGGGCACTCGGCATGTGGTTTTTGTCACGAGGAGAGGCAGTCAGGAATTTGTACTTTGATCTTCCCCACAGAGGTGGATATCTTCCCAGGACAAAGGGCAGGGAAACAGACACTCCAAAATGCATGTGACCTTGCAAACACCTGTTTAGGGCTCTGGCTTAAATGGGGACGATTGGAGGTGAATGTGGAAAATTATTAAAATGAATGTAGGCCATCAGCCTCATCAACAGGTGAGAAGGCGGTGCCCGCTGATCCTGAAATGCTGGCACCGCCCAAAAAGCTGGTGATACCCAGCACGAGGCTGGGGGCCAAGAATGTCCCCCCACATTGTTCTCGAGGGGTCTATAACCTGCAAGTGGTAAGGGCGGAGAAGGTGGTGGGCAAATAGAGTAGGGTAGAGAGGACCCCAGCTTTGGAAGCAGATGCATCCAGTTTTAAATCTTGTTCTGAAACTCACTGAGTGACTGTTAGGGATGAATTGTGTCCCTGCCCCTGGATTTCTATGAAGTCCTAACTCCAAATGTGATGGGATTTGGAGACGGGGTTTCTGAGAGGTAGGTGGAGTAAATGAAACCATAGGGAGAGATGCTGATCCAATGGGATTGGTGGCTTCCTAAGAAGAGGGAGAGAGAGATTTGCTATTTCTCTTGCCACATGAGGACATGGTAAGGAAGGGGCATCTGCAAGCCAGGAAGGGAGCCCTCACCAGACACAGAATTTCCTGGCACTGGAACCGAGAGGAAATGAGTTTGTGCTGTTCAAGGCACCCAGGCTGTGATATTTTGTGAGGGCAGCCCAGGTTGACTAAGACAGTGACTTAAATTATTCAACCTCGAATGCTTCCCAACAGCCTCTTGATGTAAAATGGAGATTATAACATTGACCTCAAAGAGATGATAAAATTCAATGAAATAATATCTGCAAGAGGATCGGCTCCTTGTAGATGCACCAACATTCTGTTTTCCAGTCATCTGTGAGTTTCAACCACCAAAGCCACACTGTATTCATTTTAGTTCTCCCAGCGCCTGGCACAGAGGAAGTTCTCAGTGAGTAGTGGCTGAAGGAACGAATAATAAACGATGGATGGGTAAGTGTGCACAGCCTCTGCTCTGAGTACCACGCTGCTCACTCAGGGGGCTTTTCCTCAACTTCCAACCTGAGTCATTTGATCACTCTACCGCTGTCCATTCTCAGACCAGGACACAGACGAGGGTTGGAAGATGCCTTTGGAGTGATGTGATTAATTTCAGCCAATCACGATACTGGCTTTGGTGTTTAAAAAAATTTCTTTTGAAATAGGACACGAGGATGGAGCAGCTTCTGTCCTGCCTGCCCTGGAGCTCCTGGCAGCAATTCCTGTTTCTGTGCCCTGAACACTGAGGGCCCACTGCTAGCCATCGAAGAATCGAGGTTGGAGGCTGGGTCCTTCCGGCTTTAATATCTGGTGTTTCCCCCACACTGGGCTGTCAGCCCTCCCTGATATCTTCCTGCTACATCTCTCAGTCCAGTCCTGAGGCCCCAAGCTCCTAGACCTTCAGCCATGAGGTATCATGTGGTCACACCCACAAGATGTGGGGCTTTCTCCGTAGCCAGCAATGTCCTCAGCTTCCCTCCAGCATTACACGACCCCATAGTTTCAATGAGCAGTTTCAATGAGCAGTGGAACGAGTCGTTTGTGGCCAGCAGAGTCAGAGGAGTTTAATTTATGACGGCATTTTTTTCTTTACAAGAAATAAAGGAAAAGAATGTCTTGCTAAATTAACAAAGCTGCTGTGTCACTGTTCCTTTGGCCAGGCAATTCCTCATCGACCAGTAACAAGCTTCAGCTTGGCCAAACCCATTTTTTACAGCAATCAAGATGATTTACCATTTAATGTATTCAGCACTTCTAAGGCCTGGTTGACGAGTTCACAAACAGCAGGCAGAGCTGGGCAGAAGAGATCAGGACCGACGGGGACCTCGGTGATCACGGGTTCCAGCTTCTTCCTTTCACAGGGGAGGACACCGAGGTCCCCTGGGAGAGGAACTTGCTGGCGGTCCCTGCGAGGGTGTCTGAGGTGAGGCTCAGCCCTGTGCTCTGTTCATCATCACCTCCCAAGTCCCTTCTCAAAGCCCTTCCAGAGGACTCCTGTGCAAGGTGGGGCTTGAACAGGTCCTTCCTCAGGAAACGTGTGGAAGGCCTAAACAGGGAGAGACAGGAGCCCACGCTTAGCATCTGCCAGGTGGGAGGGGAAACGTGCAGAAAGCAATTGCTGTGTGCCTTTGTCACCATGAGGCTCAAAAACCTGGACTCACCCAGCTAGGAATTTCTCTCTTAAAATAAAATAGGCTTGCTTTGTGCTTTACGGGGATTCCCTTAAAGTATTTCTCATCCTAATCCTGGGGAGGAAGTAGTCAGTATTTTGTTTATGGGCAACAGAGACTTTAACTGTCTGGGCCTAAGTGACGCAGGCTCGGAGATGGAGATGAAGGTTAGAATCTCGCATCTTTTAATCTCTCCTCCCTGGTTTCATCTGTTCTCAATGTCCCCGAAGCAGTGGCCTAGCCAGGGCTGATGTATTCATGAATCTGAAGGACGTCCATGTGAACTCGAGGCAGGCTTGGCCGACATGCTGCTTGCTAGCAAAAAGCTTGGACCTGTTTGCAAAGTGACAGCGCAACAAGCTTCAGCCCATCTCGAGAGAGAGCGCAGGCCCTGAGAGCCGCCTGTGTGGCGCTGAGCTGACATATGTATTACCACACTTTAAAGACTGAGATAGGAGTCACACGCCATAAAAATCACCCCTCTAAAGAGTACCACATCGTGGTATTTAGTATATTCACAAAGGTGTGCAGTCATCACCGCTGTCTAATTCAAGGACATGTCACCGCCTCCGAAAGAAACCCAGCACCATGAGCATTCACTTCCCATGCCCTCTTTCCCCAGCCTCTGGCAACCGCTAAGCATCTACTGTCTGTCTTTGTGGATTTGCCGTATTTCTTATAAATGAAATAATATAACACATGCCTTTTGTGTCTGGCTTCTTGCACTGAGCATGTTTCCATGGTTTGTTTATGTTGTAGCATGCATTAATTATTCATTTCATTGGCAAATAATATTCTGTTGTATAGATATGGATATGCCATGTTTTATTTATTATCAGTTAGTGGACTTTTGGCTTTCTTCCTTTTTTTATTATTATTTATTTTTAGATGGAGTCTCACTCTGTCACCCAGGCTGGAGCACAGGGGCGACGCCATCTTGGCTCACTGCAACCTCCGCTTCCCAGGTTCAAGTGATTCTCCTGCCTCAGTCTCCCAAGCATCTGGGGTTACAGGTGTCTGCCACCATGCCCGGCTAATTTTAGTAGAGATGGGGGTTCACTATGCTGGCCAGGCTGGTCTTGAACCCCTGACCTCAAGTGATCCATCTGACTTGGCCTCCCAAGGTGCTGGGATTACAAGCGTGAGCCACTGTACCCAGCCCTGTTTCCCATTTTGACTATTATAAATCATGCGGTCATAAACATTCTTGTACACATTTTTGTGAGGACATATGTTTTCAGTTCTCTTGGGTACATACCTAGCAGTGGAATTGCTGGGTCAAATGATAACATTATGTTTCACTTTTTGAGGAACTGCTAGACTGGCTTGCTAAGTAGCTGCATCGTTTTACATTTTCACTAGAAATGCAGGCGGGATCTAGTTTCTCTCCACAACTTCCTTAACACTTGTTAGACAATAACAAGACGGATCACACATATTTTTAAAAATTTAAGTCGTCCTAGTGGGTGTAAAGGAGTATTTCCTTGTAGTTTTGGCTTTGTATTCCTTTAATAACTAATGATGCTGAGCATTTATTCATGCACTTATTGATCATTTGTACAACTTTGGAGCCATGTCTATTCAAATCCTTTGCCCATTTTTGAATTGGATTTGTTGTCTTTTTATTGTTGACTTGTAAGAGTTCTTTATATATTCTTGATATTAGACGCTTATCAGAAATATGATTTGAAAAACCTTTTTTCTATTCTGTGGGTTGTCTTTCCTCCTTATGGTGTTCTCTGTCAAACAAAAGTTTTAAATTTTGATGAAGTCCAGTTTATCTACTATTTTTTCTTTAGTTGTTGCATGTCTGTTGTTGCCTAATCCAAGGTCATAAAGATTTACAGGTGTGTTTTCTTTCTTTCAAAAGTTGTAGAGTTTAGCTCTTAACCCTTGGATATTTTTATTCTTAAATTATCAGACTCAGCCCTGGGAACAGTTTTTCCATTTTGAAATAACTTTTATTGTATAAAAGAAAAATATTAAGGAATTAAAATTAAAGAAAAATATATACCTTTAACCAGGAACTTGTCTTTAAAATCAGTTTCGTAATTTACAAATATATCATTTGATATATCAGAGACATTTTCTGATGTCATAACTTTGATTGGTAGCACAATATTCCACTGTTTGGATATCTATTGTTTTTTAAATCCCTTATTATTGGACATTTATGCTTATTCTCATTTAGAAAATAGTAACAGTACAGCAGTGAGCGCATAATAATTTTCTCAGAAGAAATTGTCAGAAGTGTTTTTGAAAGAATAAACCCCATTCCCAGCATCCTGGTAAAGCAAGTGTACAAGGGGTCCCTGAGAATTTTCTGGAATAAAGTGAAGGATAGTTAGATACAAAGGTAAATAAATGACTTGCGTTTTGGGGGAGTGCCTTCTTGACCTTGTCTAATATTCAGATATTTTCTGTAGGCTATTTTCTTTGTTACTATAGTTATTATAATTACAACTTTAAATACTGCATAATACATTGATTTGATATAAGATAATTTACTTATGATGCCCAGATGTTAAATACTCAGGTTGCATTTGACTTTATTTATTTATTTTTTACTTTAAGTTCCAGGATACAAGTGCAGAATGTGCAGGTTTGTTACATAGGAAAACATGTGCCTTGGCGGTGTGCTGCACCTTACAACCCATCATCTAGGTTTGAAGCCCCACATGCATTAGCTATTTGTCCTAAAGCTCTAGCTCTCCCCCTCCTCTTGGCACCTCCCCCACGTGTGCTGTTCCCCTCCCTGTGTCCATGTGTTCTCATTATTCAACTCCCAATTATGAGTGAGAACACGCTATGCTGGGTTTTCTGTTCCTGTGTTAGTTTGCTAAGGATGATGGCTTCCAGCTTCACCCATGTCCCTGCAAAGGACATAATCTTGTTCCTTTTTTTGTTTGTTTTTGAGACGAAGTCTCACTCTGTCACCAGGCTAAAGTGCAGAGGCACAACCTCGACTCACTGCAACCTCCGCCTCCCAGGTTCGAGTGATTCTCCTGCCTCAGCCTCCCGAGTAGCTGGGACTATAGGCATGCGCCACCACACCTGGCTAATTTTTGTATTTTTAGCAGAGATGGGGTCTCACCATGTTGGCCAGGATGGTCTCAATCTCTTGATCTTGTGATCTGCCCACCTCGGACTCTCAAAGTGCTGGGATTACAGGTGTGAGCCACCGCGCCCGGCCTCTCATTCCTTTTCATGGCTGTAGCATTTGACTTTTAATTTATAGGGAAAACCATAGTGAACATATTTTGTGCATACTATTTTGATCTTTTGAACTGCTTCCTTAGGGCAGGTTCCCAGCAGAGGGATCTGGGGGTGAAATGGCCAGAAGTTTTAGAGAATATACATATTGCTATGTTGCTTTAGAAGGGACGGTAGCAATTTGCACTCCCTTCACGGTGCACGAGGGTCTGGCATCTGGGAATCTTGCCTCCAGCCCCACACGCTTTGAAGTGTTTCAGCAAGGATTTCAGGTGGGTGGTAGCTGAGGGAAGGGACGGAAAATTTACTTCCGATTTTACTTCTATGTTGTAACTTTTAAGTTTACATTAAAGGATGATTCTTTGTCTTTCTGTGGATTTCATGTTTACCCTGTCCTTTTCCCCAGGGAGTGAAGTTTCAAAATTGATCTTCAAGAAAACAGACTATCTATCTGAGACTCTATTAGAAGGATTGGTGTTCAGTGACTTCTGAATTGGGAAATGTTTAATATGCACGTGGAGAGACGACAGTGTACAGGTTTAAAAAGATGGGGCTTTTCCACCTGGGGCT